TGTCTTTTAATTAGTCTAATTATTGGGACTATCGTACTGTTGGTCTCGATCTCAAGGAAAATTTTCCGGATACTAATTACAAATCTATTCCGTGTAGCAAATGGGAGAACATATTAAGATGGATATCTGATAATTTTAATCAACTTGAAAGACCATTATCAATACAGAAAGAGTGTTGGTATGTTATTAAATTATTATTATTTAAAAATGTAATTGAATATTAATGTATTTAAGAAACGACTGAATATAGATACAACATATTTGTACACTATATCTGAAGAATTATTGTATTTTCAATTTATTAATATTTTATTTATTTATATGGAGTAGGTTAAATGTAGATTTTATTTGTCATCGTGAAGCATTAAAACGGATATTATGTAGCCTGTACATAACAGATGACGAATGGATTATTTATGCAAATAAATATCGTGGTACAATATATTTATGCGAGTTTTATACAAATAAAAAAAAGCGTCAATGTGTCAACAAAACAATGACAGAGAAACAAATTACTTCAGAAAGATCTGAGATTAAGCAACATATAGCAGGTATTAAAATATAATCACTATGAAAATGATCATATCACTATTGCATTTCCTTTAAATATATATAATAAAAAAAATAAATCTTTTATTTATTTAATTTATATAATTATTTTAATCAAATAATGTGTACATTATTTATTAGGTCCATCATATAAGTCAGAGCCATTATTTCATAATGCAAAAAATAATGAACGCAATAAATTTTATTGCATGTTTAAAACTAAATTTGATAATTATTCGTTATTATATGGGGCAGACATACATAGCATTTCTTCAAAAGAGCTTATAACAGACACACTTATTGGCAAAAGTTTCGAATTAATTGAATTGAAAATACTCCCAATGGATAATTTGAATAGTGACACGCATGAAATAATCTCTTCTGAAAAAATATTAATGTGGTGGAGTCAGAACTACTTGATGAATATAGACAAAACTATATGTGGAATAAAAGATAGAAACAGCGTAGTAAGAAGAATAAAAGAATATTCTACGCATGAACTACCACATCTTTCAAAGGTAAATAATTTTACATTAGAAAGAAGAATATATAGACAATAATTTTGTTAAAAGGATTAAATGACAAGAGTTTTAAAAAGATAATAATTTGAGAATATTTTTTGTAGCCTTCTTGTAATGTAGATGAATGCAAAATATTTTGCAAGATATTTCTGAATAATGTCAAAAAAATTGTCACAAAAGATTATACTGAGTGCATGTATAAATTTCATTGGAAACCATCCGCTAAATATACTGTAAATTACAATGAAGAAGCTCCTGATAATGAAACGTATTTCTTGAAGCAATGGTTTTTTGACAAAGCAGAAAAATCATTCCCAATAAATATAGAGATCCCAAAAAAAACTTTTGTATAAAGACAATTTTATTTGGCAGTATTCTGCTACACAGATATAAAAGATACGTTAAAGGCAATATATAAATTTGACATGCAATATATTTTGTAATAATATATTGTAATAATGTTATAATAATTACATTGATAGTTACCAGCATAACTATAATAAATAATATTGATTTTATCTAATATTAATTTTGTTTAATTCCAAAACTATAAATTCTGGACAACATTCGTTTTACGAAAGTGACTAACAAAATTAAAAAGTCTTACATAAGCTTTATATGTTATATAATTACTATACATATATGCATATATTTACATTTATAATAATTCTATATATAGTATTACAATAATATTATTACTAAATACATAATATACAAAATATACGCGCGCGTGCGTACATATATATTTTATATACTACATTATTATAATATACATTTTATATTATAATATTATATTATATGTTTGTATTATAATCATCAGTAAAACATCCCTGTCATATATATATATATCTATTATTTAAGGAATTATGTTTGTTATTATGACATACAATTATATACTTTTTTTTATTGATATGACAAAGTAGTTCTAGACGTAGCACCTGAGCAGCATTATTCATTCGCAAAGTGTTGGCCAGTCATTAGCCGATATTGATTTTACGTGATTTGACTGACAGTTTGTCAATTGATATATAATATTCGGATAGATATACGCGCGCGCGCGTGTATGTGTATATGCATTTACATATATTTTATATACATATATATATATATATATATTTATTATATATTATTATATTATATATATTTTTTTATATATACACATATATATATAATATATTATTATATTATATATATATATATATATATTAATTGTAATAAAGACATATAATTTGTAAGATATAATGTCTATACAATAACAAATATAATTCTTTATTCGAAATACAGAGATGTTTTATGTATGATAATTTTTATACAATAATTTCTTAAATATAGTGACAATTTATTTTATTACCTATACAATTTATTACCTATACAAAAGTTTATAATTAAACTTAAATGCATTGACCTCATATACTCATTGTAACTTTAATTATATTACTACATAAAATAAACATTTTATTACATGTCAGATTATTTCATTTAAAATTTGTCAGATTGAATCCATTTCTTTTTCCAGAACATAAATTTCAACATTTCAACAATCAAGATAATAATGACAATATTAACTTTGCATAATATATTTATTTATTTTGAAGTCATTTCTGAGTTTATTAACAGCAATATTCTATATTTTATTTTCGATTTATGACATATTAGAATAATATACAACTTCTATAAAAATTTCATAAAATATAAAACATAAATAAGTTCTGCTTCAAACTTAAATTATCTTTTCCAAATAGTTATTTCACAATTTAGTATGCATTGACTATCATAAAATTATCCTTGAATTCTCACGTCCGGTACTCCAGAGAGATGATGATCTTATCGCATATTAAAATTATGTTGAAAACCTGATATGCTGGAAAAATTTGACTTGTGGTCATTTTTAGCATTTAAAAATTAATAAGAAACGCCTTGTCTAAGTCAAAATAATTTTTCACTATAAACTAATATATTACACATCTTACGGTATATTTAATTTTAACCCAAGATAAACTCCTGTGTTATCTTGTTTACTTACCCGAGTAATATATATCGATTGACAAACTATCAGTCAACATTATCAACATTATCAACATTAGGCTAACGATTAGGCTAACAGTTTGCAAATCAATCAGTGTTGCTTAGGTACTGCGTCGAAGATTTTGTCATATCAATGAAAAAAAGTGTTGTTATAATTGTATGGGTAATCCCTTCTTGATGACACAATTGCTATAAATAGGACACAGTGCGTGTGTTTCCCCTTCCTCTTGGTCTTCAGTCGCGATTTCACTCTTACATTGGGAGTTCCCCTTTGTCAAAAGAAATTAACGCGCAGTATACGTCATATAACTTTGTAATATTCGTCTCTTCGTTTTCGTAAGAGCAAACCGAAATTGTGTGCTACCGCGAAGACAGTAGATAAACTACATAATGTTTTTTAAAATTGATCCCGTGAATTTTTCCATCCACACGATTCCAGTGTTAACGACCGAATTGATCGGATTCTTCAGCATTGACGGCGATTTACAATATCACGCTAATCTGTCGCAACTGAAATATTATAATCCTCCTCCGGATTTTAACAACGTAAATTTCGATCTTACGCGAAATTTTGAATCTACTCAACACAAATCTAATTTATATGTTAAATTGGATAATATATTAAAATGGCTTTCCAATAATTTTTCTCGACTTGAAAGACCATTATCAATACAAGAAGAGCGTTGGTATGTTGTTAAATTATTATCATTTATTGCATAAAATATTTAAATAAATATAATTAAATATTATATTTTACATATGACTACATGTGTAAATGACTTTATGTGTTATATCTAAAAAGGTGTATATGCTTTATACATACATACATATTTTTTTGCCTTTTTATTTTAGCAATAATACATTTAATATATCATTGTTCTAATAAAAAAAAAATGTTAATTAGGTTAGATGTAGATTTTATTTGTCGTCGTGGAGTGTTAAAAACAATATTATGTAGCCTATATACAAGACGTAACGAGTGGATTATTTGTGCCAGTAAATATCGCGGTACAATATATTTATGTGAGTTTTATACAGATGAAAGAGAATATCAGCATGTCAATCGAACAAAAACAGAAAAAGAATTTTTTTCATGGGGATATAAGTTTGAACAATATATGGTGTCAGGTATTATATATTATAAAAAATAATTTTTGTAAAAATGTAATGACATATCACTTTTACTTTTAGATATAATAGAAAAAAATAAATTCCATGTTTAATCCATATAATTAATTTAATTAAATAATTATTAAATAATATTAAATAATATTAATAAATTATTAAAAATATTAATTAAATAAACATATACTTTTTATTAGATAAACCATCACATAAACCAGATCCATCAGTATCTCTTAATGAATGTGAAGAATTTCACTGTGTATTTAAAGCTAAATTTGGCGATCATTCCTTATTATATGGGGCAGAGACAGATGGTATTTCTTCACGAGAGCTCATAACAGAGACAGATTTTATAACACTTTTTGGCAAAACTTTTGAATTAATCGAATTGAAAACGATCGTAGCATATAATTCGAATGGTGATATGTATGAAAATATTTCCTCTGAAAAGATATTAATGTGGTGGAGTCAGAATTACTTGGCAAATGTAAATAAAATTATATGTGGATTAAAAGACAGAAACAGCGTAGTAAGAAGAATAAAAGAATATTCTATGCATGAACTACCATATCTTTCAAAGGTAAATAATTCTGTTAAAAGAACTGTGTATAAGAGACTTGAAGATATTAATTCGAAAATTTTTATTGCAGCCTTTTTGTAAGGTGGATGAGTGTAAAATATTTTGCAAGATATTTCTAGACAAAGTTAAAGAAATTGTCACAAAAGATCATACTGAGTGTATGTACAAATTTCATTGGAAACCATCCGCTAAATACATTGTATGTTGTAGCGAAGTAGCCCCTGACAACAAAACGTATTTTTTTCTGAAGCAATGGTTTCTTAACACAGCAGAGGAACATAGAAATCATTCTTAAAAATAGAAGTCTAAAAAATAAAAGAACTTTCATATAAAAGAAGATACTGTACAAATATAAAAGACAAATGTTAATGACAATGTGTCACAATATATATATTGTAATATCATGATAGTTATTAGTCAAAGCAGATATATTTAATGCATACGAATATCCATGATGACTATAAAAACT